TTGTCCAGAAGCCGGACTCGACTGCACTTATTAGCGGGTCTTTAATGAGGTTCGATTGCAGTTCATCAGAACATTCACTTGTAGATGTAGCAGCAGTTTGATCGCTTTTTAACGAATCTTTCACCTCACACAGTACCAGACAAATATCTTCACTATTTCTTGGCAAACGTTGATCTTTACAATGATCAACGGGATGAGAACAGCCAACGACACCATCAGAACAACCAGCTTCAGTAGCGGCGTTAGCAACAATAGCTCCGCTGTTGCCGCACTGCTCGAGATGGTCAGTTTGGTCAACAACTTGTCTCTGGCCTTGAACAGCATCTCCGTTAGAACAGGTGCAGAGTGGAGCGACCGAGCAAGCTGAACACATAACATCGCCATTTAAGTCTGCTCTTGCATTGGCAGTCAGACCAGACCCAGGAGCGTGTCTTGGTTTGCAAGAGAAAGCTTGGTCTGTACAGTTGAGATGATTCGATGAGCTTCGCAATACCAGAGCTGAATTTATAAGCTCACGAGAAGAATCTTCAACGCTTGAAACAGGAAAAGATTTTAGGCATTGGTTAGACCAAGTGACCGCAGTCTTTTCAGACTTTTTGCTCAAAGAAGTATCAAGGATTGCGCTCGAGTCATGTAGTTCTGAACTTGGGTACGTCTTCTTACGAAAATTAATATTTACATGATGTGAACCAGAAGAGGATGAAGTTATGGCCTCTACCTTTGTACCTAATGAATTATTTGTGTTGCTTGTGCAAGGAATAGATAAATTGGACACTTTATTGCGCTCATCACTTGAAATATCAACACTACTACAGGAAGCCATGCCGACGTTCTTCGAAGTCTGTGCAGGGGCGACGTCTGTTATTGAAAACGATGGTTTGGTTGTGGTATCAGAAAAATTCGTAGGCGTCCAGCATCTGACATTTGGATTTGTACGAATGAGTGTGGGTTGTGTCGTACGAATTAGTGTGGGCAGTGAAGGAAGTTGAACAAGTCTACCTTGCACCAATTCGCTGGCCGACAACTTTTGAGAAATATTTTCTTTACTCCTCAACGAGTGGGAGTCTGAGGCACTTATGTCCTTGACGATAATTTGTTTATCTTCAGTGGGAATTGAGGCAATAAGTCGAAAACTACTCGAGTTTTCATAAATTATCTTGTCACCGGATGAAGAAGGCGATACAAATTCGCATTGGTTAGGACTATGCAAATAATGATTACTCTTCTCGCTGTTATTATTGACTTCATCGAACGAACTTTTTGCTGTGACATTCGGACGATCTTTCTTAAGTTGTGCATACAAACACGTCGGCGAAGTGATAATCAGAGTTCTTTTCCTTGTCAGTGGCGCTCTTGAGAGACACATAGGAGCTTCAGTAACAGAAACGTCAGAGTCCGTGTTTAATACGTGGCCTTCATCAATCTTTTCTCCAGATTCAACGTCTCCCTTCAAAGTCTTATCTCGAGAGTCGTCAGCGTAGTCAGGGCGTTGATTCAAAAGCGAGAGTGGCAGGTGCGCTGGCTCGCCTTTTACAGTCACTGCGATTTCGCCGGAGGGCGGAAATCTATTAGATAATGTCGACAATACACGCCCAAGAACCGGCTTTACTTGGGCGTTGTTATGGTGCGTGTTTGGGGAAGGTAAAGTAATGAGAAGACTGTCGGGTGTAGCCAGGTTGTGGGATTCTTGGTTAGCCGAGACGTTGCAACTCACGTCAAACTTCAGGCAATTTGTAGAGTCAATGCAGTTAAGCGGAGGGCAATCGGTTCCAATAGATTCTTTAACATTAGTCTGTTTGCTACCAGCCAGTAATAATGTGTGGCTACAGTCTTCATTATTTCCTACGCTGTAGTTCGATTTATCGGCTACTTCACAGGATATTTCCTGCTCGTAAGCTCGCGAGTTACTAGGACTGCAACTACGATTAACACCGTTAACAGAATTGATAATACAGGTACTAGAAACGGGATTACTAGCTAGGTTGTGTCGGATTGTGGATACGCCCACGCAACTCGAGGCAGGATTAAGCAGCTGGGTCTCCAGGACAAGGTCAATGTCGCCACTATCTTGAAGCAAGTCCTTCGCCAGATCGCTTACAGAACCTGGCGTCGAATGCGAGATGGTACATACATTTGAAGTCGAGCCGAGAGGAGTAGTTTGCATGGAACATTGCGCAGTACAAGGAGCATATTTATTCTTTTTCTTCTTATAACGCGAGCTCAAACGTCGAAAAAATTGATGTGTAGAAGATTTAGTGCAGTGTAAATCCTCTAACCGCTTTTTGGTTTCTGATATCACAGGCTCAGGATGCAGCGATCCTTGCTCCACATTTTGTGGAGTGTTCAAAGTAGAAGTTTCTTTAGGGCAGTCACTGGATTTAGTATCAGCACTCGGCTCACAGGAATTCAAACCAGGAGAAGTTTTCCAAAGCTTTCTAAAGCTCCGAAACAATCTAGGTTTTTCACCTTTCTTCCCCGACATTTTCAGTACGCAATCGTCCACATATGTTATTCTCGCTGAAATAAGTTTGCATCGCAGAGATAACTAATAGAAAAAATTAAATTCCTTGACTTCTGCCCAAATTCGAAACATAAATAAGAGTCTTCAATTACATACAACGAAGCAAACTTAGTCGGTCCATGTCGTATATCTACAAGCGACCAGATCGTATCTAGTCGCTTGTAGGTATCTAAAAGGGTATCTAAAAAAATATTTAGATATCTGTAGGTATCAAGGTATCTAAAACTTTTAACCTTAGAACTGGCAGCAAAACATTGTTGAGAAATCAAATGATACGCTTTTAACCATTTAAACATTACACAGCGAACATACCTGACCTCAAAGCTTTGCCTCGCTATAAAATTTAAATTTTATTATAATAAAAACGTTCGTCTTTGTTTACGTGGCATTTAATTTTGAAATGAATAAACACTATTATAGGAAGGAACCACGAATTAACGAGAATTAACTTGATACTCATAGTTCAGGCTTTATTTTATCACACTGTAATCACTTGGATCAGTAATCAATTCTAGGAACATTCACACACGGACAAGTCACAAAAATGTATGCATAACTATCGCATGTAAATACACACCCTATTCACATAACTAGCCGAGCTAATGCTGACTCAACGACTTCTAGTTGGGAACTGATGGCCAGAAGACAGCGACATCGTGCGCTTCACTTCCGTAAATCAGACACGTGTTGACCCGATGCTACAGTGGAGCTGATAAGAAGCCATGACCAGTTATGGGCACGTGGGAGAGCTTGCCCATACAGATAATTTGAGACCGTGGTGCTCAGTCGAGAGACCGCACTTCATTTTGTCGTGTCTAACTAGGCATTCAATATTTGTCTTCGGAATCAGGTGTAGATAAATAGCTTGCAGGCATGGTAACTTAATTTTGTCGTGTCTGGTTAAGCATTAAGATTTGTCTTCAGAATTAGGAGCTGATAATAAGGTTGTAGGCACAGCAACTTGATTTGGTCGATTCTGACTAGGCATTAAAGGCGCGTTTTCAAAATCGGGCGTCGTCAATCGGAATTGCTGGTGTGCAATGCACTGGATAGATTTCTTTAATTTCTTCAATTAAATATATAGTATATACCTATATATTTCTTTGCACTGGTTGGATCTTATCGAAATAACTTATCAACGGTAATGAAGATAAACCGAGTCACTTCATAAGAAGTGTTTAAAAATGAATTTTTAATGGATTTCCCTAAACTTTGAAGGAAATTTCAATTGTTAATAAAATGTTATTTCATTGGTTTCTCGTTCTTATTATTGGAAGAATCATTACTGTGAGAATAGAGAAAAAGAAATCAATTCTCATCGATTATGAGAAAAAAACCAAAAATGTCAAAGAAAGAAGCAATCGCAGGATTTAATCTTATTTAGTTTACCCAGGCTGCATTATTGGCAGCCGGACGCTGGCCATATTTAAATGTTGCCCAATTTCAACAGGGGCGGCTGCATAAGTAAATGATAGCTTTCCAAACCGATGGCGGCTGAATAAAAATTATAACTTTTGTGAATAAAATAAATCATTACATAGGAACCGTAGACGTCGTGTAATTTTGCTAATTTCAGCAAAATCAGTAACATTTAATTTAATGCAGCACTTACTACAAATATGCATAGAAAGTAGTTGCTTTCAACGGTTCACCTGCAACTTTATCGAAAGGATTTGAAGATAACAAAACAATAAGGATTTCATGCCATCGTTAGTATTATTGATGGATCTTCACTTGCCGAGGTCATAAATCGCATGCGGTAGCAAACAAGCCAATACGGGCTAAGTTAAAAGTTAATGTTAAAATAAAAGTAAATAAATTAAACGGGCTAACGGTAGTCGTATTAAACTTTGTCATTCTACTAATATACAACCGGCAAGATCGAAAATCTTCCAACGCGCGGCTATGAATCGTATGCAGACAAATGATACACGGACAAATCATAGGTTTGAATGGACATAAAAAGGAACCTGATCACACAACACACTAATGCAAGGAATGGGCACAAAATATGCCTATGAAGAAAACGAACTGCGGCGAAACTACAGGGTAGGAACATGTCATACCCAACACGTCGTCAAGTTTATTTTTTAGCAAAACGTGTAAATATAAAATTCGTTTTGAAGATTTTCTGGATATACATTGTATTGTATATGTAGGAGTTAGAGCCTACCTTGAACTCGACGAATCGTGTTTGCTCATGTCACCACCCATCATGCCTCAGGTTTATTAAGGTTCAGGTTAGAGATCCTGTCGCGACAAACTCACGGCACCAAGTAAACAGAACTAGGAACGTTCAGCTCGTGCTTATCTTGTCTATGAGATTGTAAAATTACGCGAATTTCAACGCGAGATTGGAACGTCAGCACCCAGGCTACCGAAGAATAAATTTAGGAATATCAGTTCTAAGAATCTATCTGAATATTGGAGACTGATGAAGTGACCAGACGAAAATTAGAAAAAAAAATTTTGTACTCACCTAAATATAGCAGGTCCAAAGGTCCGTCTTAGCTGCTGTTTCATGTCTTGGGCGTCTTTGAAAACTGCACAAGAACAAACAATGTAAAGAATGTAGATTAAAAGAGAACAAGATAAATTCTTCGTTATCTATGATTCAAATTCATACGACGATAAGATCAGCAGCACAGCTATCACTAAAATCCAGCAAATTTGTCACTGACTGACGAACATAATTGTCTACGATCTACATGGACCAGTTCCAAACTACGACCTGTAGAAATTATAACCAACAGTCAATAAAGAGCAAACTAGCGACAACACTAGCCATTAGAAGGAAGTAATTAGCTTTCTTTACCAATCAAGCATATCAAAAATTACCTTCTGCGGAAGATCTGCAGTTTCCACTGACCAGAGCGGTGGCTTGCTACAGAATAATTCGAGCTTCGTTGTTCTTTATTTGTCAATACAATGGTTGTTCTTCATTGGTCAAATAATGGTTGTCCTTTATTGGTCAACAATGGTTGTTCTTTATATGTCAAGCAATGGTTGTTCTATATTAGTTAATGGACGCATTTTAGCTGGGCGTTTAACTGGTTCGGCTAGCTAGCTGGGCGGGAGCTCTGATTTAATATACCGCCACAAAATTTGGATGAACAAGTATACGAGGAAGCATTGAAGGAAACAATTGCTGCGAGTTACGCGTCCCTTTGATTTGCTTAGTGTATTCGGGAGGCAATTTGGTTTCGTAGGAGACCCTGTATTTACCTACCCACGAATAACCAATATACACCCACGAGGGGACCAATATCTGTAAAGCCCATCATTGACCCCCGGGAAACCTCACATTGACCTATGACTATGAGAGACATAACGTTGAGCCCTGGGAGGCCCAACATTGACCCCTGGGAGGCCCAACATTGACCCCTGGGAGGCCCAACATTGACCCAACATTGACCCATGTTTGACCCAACATAACCCACCTCTGGATGAGAGAGACAGGAAGTCGTCATCGCCGAGGTGGTCGACCGCTACGAGCTCGAGTTCATCCACTGATAATTAAAGCAAACAAATAAGCAGAAGCTCAAACACACTTAATATCTGTGGTGACAGGCAGGCATATTACACATTCATGGCAACGATAGCGTGCAGTAGTGGAAATGCTTTGAATAAGGTTGTGCTATTTTAGTATAAAGAATTGTGCATCATTTTAAAGAAAATAGTTTAAAAATCTAGTAAGCTTATGGGCAATATGTCTTTCAAAGGCCCAACAGCAAGCATTAACTGCTGTAAGCTGGGGAATTTTCTTCAGGAGCGGTTGCTTACCGATCATTGTTTGGAAACAGTGTTTTAGTAAATAAATTAGATTGGACAAATGAATTTTGATTATACAAATAGAGAATGACTGGCTTTTGGGAATTTGCCTGTCGCTAGTAATTTCACTGATATTTCCATCAGAAGCCGGTGAACTTGATAACCAGGTGTTTGTACTTGGGGGACAGTTGTGGCGGCCAATACAACATTCAAATACTAACAGCCAATATTTATCACAATATTCTTCTTATAAAAGGTTACCGGATATTTCCGTGGCTTGACGGTTGATATTTGAAAATTATACTGGCCGCCACTTGTGGCCGTCATTACTGTCCCTTTATAAGAGGACTTTCTGAGAATTCTTTCAATCAAACAAATGATCGACGAACTTCAGCTTGATAAACACTGTTTATCAAACAATGACATATTTGACTACTCCCTTCAAAGATAATAAATGCAAATGAAAATGTGGATCAAAGTTGTTAGATTCCTCGACCGTTGTTTATTTCGTTAATTGAAGCAAGAGTAAACGGTGATCGTTGATCATGTCAAGCACACTTTTAAATGAAACCCACAAAATAAATTCTTATAGTTTCTTTTTGGCATGGCATAACTAGGGATATTAATTTGCCATCAATTGAAATGTAGAATTAATTAAAGAGCTGACTCGTTCATTTGTCTTCGGAGCGAGGTGTAGAAGGCGTGCATAAGTAGTACATAAGCTAGCAATGGTGAAGTAGAGACGAGTAAAATGGAGTAAATAATGCGTGACATGGAGAAACTTATAGCAACACATTACTGCAAGACACACTCACTAAGATAGGAAAGGTTGCAAAAATCCTAGGTTGCATAGAATACATTTTGTTAAATTAAGCAAACTCAGTATAGTCAAATTTAAAGATTATGGCAAATTATTGTGACAAGGAAGAGAAGAATGGAAAAATTATGCAAATATATCTATGAATAATTATAGGAAAAACAATAAGAAAAGTCTCACGCAATGTAAACGAAAGAGCAAGAATTCGAGCAAGTAGAGGCAGGCAAACGCACGCACGATCAAATTCATTTTACTAACACAAGATGCGAGCAGGTTGGCAACATGTACCGGACTATAATGAGAGACTGGTATGATTTTATTTTGTAAATTATATATAAGAACTGTAAAGAACTTTAGGCTCTTTCTCTTGCTGCTACAGTTCTCGTTGTATACGTACTCTTAGAAAATTAGTTCATGATTTCAATTCTGTCTAGCAAATAATGGAAGATATATAGTTTTTATAACAGATTTAGTTGTAAATCTTTTGAATAAAAAATACTCGAAGCTTTCGTAATTCACGGATCTCAAAGTCAGACACAAGTTCTCAGGTACACGAGCGGAGGATGCAAGCAAGGATGCTTTAATCACACAAACATTAAAATATAAAACATTAATTTGTTCTAAGAAACTCTCACACTGAGAAGCGGCCTGCAGATCAGAAGGTGTGATGCCAGTAGCGATGTCAGGCCCCGCCTCGCTGTGGTTGTCTTCGTCGCCCCCACCAGCAGCAGCAGGGGCAGCGTCGCCGTAGTAATGCATCGATAGGCCTGAGTCAAGGCTCGCCGTGCCGCCCTGTGGTCGGTGATCAAATTTTAACTGCATGCAAGTTAAATAAAGTTTTAATAAAATAAAGGACAACTTCAAAAAAATGTTAATATAACGTTTTAACTGTATAGTCTCCAAGTGTATTAAGGCACGTGAATGTTAAAGATTACAATGTATGCATAAATATAGAGTGAATATTGCACTGGCAAGTTCAGACCTCAAAATCAGAGGGGTTACCCTAAAAAAATTAGACCGGGTCATAACATCCGAAGCGATTTTGCTGGGACAAGCTGGGTCAGGATGACCCACCCAAAGGCAAGAAAATCACTATTATTTGGACAAAGTCTCCTATATTTCTCTGAGTTGAAAATTTGAAAAATAAATAAATAAAAATGGAAATGAAAAATAAATCCCGAGTGCTGACCTCGTCGTCGTCATCCCGCCTGAGGGTGCGGGTGGGGATGAAGGGGTCGGCCGCACCCCCAACACTCACGGGCCTTCTCACCCCCACAGAGGGCGGGGACCTGCTCAGCTGTGTTCCTCTGAACTCATTCCCCCCCTCCAGGTTCAGGGACCTGCGGGACGGGGGTGCTCGTCCGTAGCGGCTTGATGACATTTCGAAATTTTCGGGATCCAGGCAATCCGTAAAATTTTCTTCTGTTTCCGCAATTTCGTTTGCACCTAAAAGGTTCTTATCGCAAGTTCCTGATCTTTTTACGTCATAAGTTTTGTTTGAATCTAAGGAAAAACTGGCAAGTTCTTCGGCAAGTTTGCTGGCTTCAGAACCCAGAAGCTGATCGAACTCTTGGCTCTCCAACAAACTCGCACTGATCGTCCCAAAAGAAGGGATCCTGTGAAGGGATGTCGTGAGTTTCGGCCTCTGAGCAGCGGCTGAATCGGGATTGTTAGAGTTCACAATTTTCTCTGTGAGGCCAGCAGGGTTCTTAGTGGAGTTAGATTCCGTAGGTTGAACTGATTTTTCTAATTTACAAGAACTAATTTCTATTTTATCATGATTTTCTTCTAGTTCATTCTTCAATAAAACAACGTCGTTTGTACTTTGTGTTGAATTTGAAGATATTACATGGTTTTCAGTAACAACGCCCTTAGAAATTTCAGATTGCTCTTGAGATTTGACAGAGATTTTATTATTAAAGAGATTTTTCTCTAGAACATCAGAAGAAATGCACTCGGTGAATTCGTGACTTGGTGGTGGAGAATTTCTAAAACTTTTCTTGCTAGAAAACGGATTGAAATTCGGGTCGTCGAGGTTGTCCAAGAAATCAAGATTATAGCCTTTAGATGGCGCAATAACTTCTTCTTTATCGACAGCCGTTAAACTTGTTTTATTAGGAACTTTATCACTGCTCTCAGCATCAATACTATTATGATTGTCTACAGAAACAATATTATGTATCACCCCAACACTGCTCGACGCCAAAAAAGTGTCGTCAGATGCCTTTAATTCTTGACCTTTATTCGTCAAATCCCCGGATAACTTAGGCTTGGTCACTGAAGGCGCTTTAGATCGCGATTTCAGAGGAGGTTTTCTTACAATGCGTTTTGATTGAGCCTGAGACGTTGTCTTCTTGACGTTACCTGAAGCTTCGTCTTCTGGAACCGGAATTTGAGGGTCCGAATTTCCAGAGCCGGAGTTGTTAATGACTTTTGGAAACTCCTTTACCGCGGTTTCTTTTTCGTCCTTGCCGGAGGACGAACCAGAATCGGCGGATTTTGTATCAGCAGGTTTTTCCTTCCTTGTTCCTTTCTTCAAAACTGCAGGTTTCAGCGGGGGGAGGCCGACGCGGGGGCTGGGGGGAGGGCTATTACGTATCGAGCTTTTAGTCCCAAAAGGATTAAAATTTGGGTCGTCCAAGCGGTCCAAAAAATCTAAATTGTAGGATTTTTTCGGCACCAACGGCAGCTCTTCATCGGGGAAGCTGGTTTCGCTGTCCTTCGGCACATTTTCCTGAGGAACAGGTGCCTCTACTGACGCAACAGGTGCCTCTACTGACGCAACAGGTGCCTCTAGTGGTGCAACAGGTGCCTCTACTGACGCAACAGGTGCCTCTACTGACGCAACAGGTGCCTCTACTGGCGCAACAGGTGCCTCTACTGACGCAACAGGTGCCTCTACTGGCGCAACAGGTGCCTCTACTGGCGCAACAGGTGCCTCTACTGGTGTGACAGGTGCCTCTACTGACGCAACAGGTGCCTCTACTGGGGCAACAGGTGCCTCTACTGACGCAACAGGTGCCTCTACTGACGCAACAGGTGCCTCTACTGACGCAACAGGTGCCTCTACTGACGCAACTGGTGCCTCTACTGACGCAACAGGAGTTTCAGCAACTCGAACTACTGTTGCATCGCTGGAAGAAGCATCAGGATTTTCTCCACGAATTTCTTCATTTCTTTGAGTGGTGAAGTCAGGAGATTGTGAGGTCTTTTGGCTCTTGCCAGAGGCCTGACTGAGACCAAGCTCTTGACTTAATGCTAGCTCCTGACTTAAGGCAAGCTCTTGACTCAGGGCAAGCTCTTGGCTTAATGCTAGATCTTGACTTAAAGCAAGCTCTTTGCTTAATGCTAGCTCTTGATTTAAAGCAAGCTCTTGACTTGAGGCTAGCTCTTGACTAAGAGCTAACTCTTGATTTACCGTTAGCTCTTGAGCACAGGAAAATTTCAGATCCTCGTCCTGGCCGCGCACTTGTTGCTCGTTGAGTTCAAACTCGGACTGATCGAGAGACTCTGACTGCTGTGGCACGCCTCTGCTGAGACCAGATGCACTGCTTTCAGCAGCTGCAGCGAGATAAACTGATGCAGAAGCTGTAGCAGGATCAGCTGAAGCCCCTGCTGTAGCTATATCAGGTGCTGCAGCGGCTACAACTGCGGCAGTTTCTAGTAAAGGTGCTGCTGAAGCTTGGATAGGAAGAGCGTTCAGTTCAAGGGCGGTAGCTGCTTCAAGTGTAGCGATTTCTAGTTCAAGTGTAGCAGCTGCTTCATGTGTGGCAGCTTCAGGTTCAGGCGTGGCAGGTCGTTCAAGACATGCACGTGCTAGTTCAGGAGTTACAGCTGATGATTCGTGTGATTTTACTTCAGTTGCACTACTAGCTTGTGTTGCAGCAGGTGCAGGTTTTTGTTCAGGTTCTTCAGCAGATGTAGATCCTTCGGCAGATGTAGGTTGAAGTATTGCAGCAGGTGCAGGTTGTTCGGGAGGTGCAGGTTCTCCGGCTGATGCAGGTTCTTCAGCAGGTGCAAGAGCAGGTTCTTCAGCCGGTTCAAATTCTTCAACAGATGCAGGTTTTCCGGCTGATGTAGATCCTTCAACGGATGTAGATTCTTCCGTAAACCTTGGTTCTTCGGCAGGTGCAGGTTCTTCGGCAAATGTAAGTTCTCCCACAGATGTAGTGTCCCCAACAAGCTCCTCTGCACTCTCGTACTCGGACTCTGCACGCAGATGGTCACGTTAGAAATAAATTGTATACTATGATATAATATATTTAATAATATTATTATAACTTTACGAACGAGGGAACATTAGAGGGAAGCTATAATAGAATGTAATGATTTTCGGGAAAATATATTAATTTCATTTTCATGAACATTCGTTGGCAGTGGTTGGGAAGTGAAAATATTGTAGTTTTACAAAAAAATTATTCTTTTAAAAATGTGAGGTGATAGAAAGTTAAAAAATTCAAGAGTAACTACTTATTGTGAACACCAGTTTTTAAAATAATTTCAACTCGAATGCATTCACGCTCAGAACAAAAACAATCAAACTAAACAGAGTTGAATGTTGATAATTTATTACAGAGAGAAGCAGACATAATAATGAACTGAACAAGCAGACACTGGACAGACAGCGCCAGACAGGAGACAGTATACCGACACTGAACTACACAGGATTAACAGAACTGACAGAAGACAGTATACCGACACTGAACTACACAGGATTAACAGAACTGACAGAAGACAGTATACCGACACTGAACTATACAGGATTTACAAAACTGACAGGAGACAGTATACCGACACTGAACTACACAGGATTTACAGAACTGACAGACGACAGTATACCGACACTGAACTATACAGGATTTACAAAACTGACAGGAGACAGTATACCGACACTGAACTACACAGGATTTACAAAACTGACAGGAGACAGTATAGCGATACTGATCGGCCCGTCAACAACACAGAACTACACATAATTGAATACGGGGCGTCGGGAGCGCGTATAAAGCGTGCACTGGGCAATCGTTGCGTAAAGGAAGCCGCTATCGTGACGCAGATAAGCTGCGTATAAAGGTCATTAAAGCTCATCTCCCACTTAACAATTACACCAAATCTCATCTCCCATGCAACAACTATTCCACTGATGACATTTTAATGGGAATTATGAAACCCGGTTTTGTGAGGTCGCGTTCTAAATCGGAAAGTTTTGACGGGATTTGTTTAGGAATGTATTCAAATATTTTGAAACTAAATAAAGTTTTACACAGTAAAAAATAGTTTAACAGTGCATGACGATTTAAATTAAAATGGAATACAATGTCAGGATGAGGTAAATTAATATGACATCGGAAGTTATTTATGTAATATATTTATTATAGTAATGTCAAAAAAGACTGAACAAATTCGTTATGAATGCTTGAAATTAATGAATGAAACCACAAAAAACGAAATGCACAAAATCAAAGTAAAATGTTCACCATTATCCAATTCCATCTCAAGTTTTGTCTGATTTAAGTACATTTATAAATCTTTAAATTTGCTTGGGGTAAACGAAAAACTTGGATATAGTTTCAAAAATCTCAAATTTCGGGCATAAATTTCAATTTAAAACTTGCTCGTAGGATTGGGGTGACGTTTCATGGTGCACATTGGACTTAAAATTTTAATTTCGCCACTGCTTTACTTCATCTTTCTGGCAGGAATCTTCGAGCAGTTCGCTACCTGACCTCGTAACAGCAGCTATCTGAGTGCTAATGAAGCTTCATATGTGACTTTGTTCCACCTTTATTCTCGACGTTACAAGTATGATAAGGATCCAGTTTTGAAAAATCTTCGGCACCTGTTCACCTATGTAGTGAAGCCTTTATCTGAAGCCTAGTTTGAGCACGGTCAGGACCTTGGACGCATACGTGGGCACGGGCTAGAGTGTACGTAGTCTGCGATACGACCGACCCTAGGTGGCACTGCGTTTTAGCTGCGACCACTACTTCAGGCCTGGGAACCTTTATATATTTCATATATTACACTAAACAAACAATTGAAATGCACTGCGTTTTGCCTGCGACCACTACTTTGGCCCCGGTAACCTACCTCTGTGCGGTCGTAGACCAGCCCAAGAACCAGCACTACACCAGCGATTCATCGAAGGATTTTTTTAGTACGTCAGGAACGTCATTCTATCATCGCAAGTAGTTATGAGGTACTAAATACCGTTCCTTTTCAATTAAAACCCAGTAAATAATAAAGCATATAAAAGTACTTAAATATTCTTTGATACCAGTTATGTATTTACATGGCTCTATGGAAGCTACTGAATATATACTCTAATAGTCTCTAAATTATACCGATATAAAACGTGCGCCAATATTTTGCACCAACTCGGTAGATTTTTGGCTACGATTCACGAAATTTTTGTCTCGTACCTTTTACCCCCATTGAGCATTTTCCTTTTTTTTAGGCTCGGTCCCCAGAGTTTTGTACATGAGGAGAGTTGAAAAATCGTAGCATAGCTTATCAATGTGATCAAAACTAATAGCATACAGGTTAACACAGGCAAACATACGTTTATTATATTAGAAAGTAAGGAAAAAACGAAACCTGACAGCAGTTATGTCTTGGAAAACACATAGAAACAACTACAATAAAATGTTATAAAGAGAGATACCAGTGAGACAGACAGACAGGCTGTACCTTTAGGATCGAGAGAAGAAGGTAGCACAGACACTCGAGTAGCACCTGTTGTAATAGAGCACATTTACATTCTTTTAGTACATAACATTCAGTACATATACTACAACTAAATAAAAGAATTTGGTTATTAAAATAAATTGAGAAGTTACAGTAAGCTTATTAGTTGATTATTCTAAAGACCCATGCTCAATTTACGACAGAGAAAATAGTTACCATCAACTGGGGTGACTTCGGCCACCGGCGGTGACTTCGGCCACCATTACAACAGAAACAAATGGCAGCAAAACAAAATAATAAACGTTGGCCAAAGTCACTCCGGAGGCCAAAATCACCCCAGGCACTTTGGCCAACGTTTATTATTTTGTTTTGCTGCCATTTGTTTCTGTTGTGGTGGTGGCCTAAGTCAACCCACTTGATGGTACTTTTAAATGTAATAGGAATACTAGTACAACTGAGTTGGTATATACCTGAAGACAGTCGTGCTCGGGCACAGGGCTCGGGTGAAGCGCAGGGGCTGTTCATGAAGAAAGTGTTTTAAATTAGCTAGAAGACAGAAATTGCTTTAAAGATACTCACATCAGCCTCAACTGAAAGTTGAATTTGATGAACAAAAAAACACTCTAATTAGTGCCTGAAATTTGAGCCAAAAAAGTACAAAAAGAAAGTAATTTTGATCCCATTAACTTGGTATATTTTATTAGTCATTTTTTAATGTTTCTAGAAAATGAATGGGAATCAGTAGCACCAGTATGTAATTGGAACAGAAAATTCAAATGAATTCCAATTTCATGAAATGATGAAAAAGGATAACATATTCATGAGGTCATACATAGGTACCTATGGTATACAATGAAACAAATAAACAGATATGTATACAAAAGCATAAGGTTACAGTTTATCATAGTTTCATAGAGAAATGCTCATTCTAAATTACCAGATCTAGTTCAAAATTTTTATTCAAAATCTATGTTTAGTAAGTATACGTATATTATACAATGTTGGTATCCATGATACTTTACAGGTTTACATACTCGTATGACTCAAAAGCTTACAGTCTAAAAAAGTCTCTGCTTTGTCACAGATTGGATGATTGGATTGAGTGGCTTTGAGTTGACATTTTGATTTAAGTTGACTTCCTGATTTAAATTTACTTTTTGTTTTCAGTTCACTTTTTTCTTTATAGTAGACTTTTTTATTAAAGTTAACTTTTTGAGTGGCTTCATCACAGATCAGTCACCTGATATCAGTGGCAATGTCAAGCACAACTGGCAGTGTTCCAGAGCTGCCTGCTCCTGACAACCCAGCTACCACAGCAGCTGCTGAGGGAGGAGTGGCTGTCTGTCCTTTCTGTCCTCCCTGAGGAACAAATAAACGTTAATTAGGAAGTTCTTAAATTGATTAACATTGTAAGTGAGGAGGTTCATTTAATCTTTCACTACTATTTTAGCAATCAAGTAGGTACATAAATGTTTCTAAACATTTTACTCCTCCTCAAATAAATGGCCTAACAATCATTAGATATGATTATATTTGAACTTTCATATTAAATTTTTCTTACATAGGGACTATTTTGTACATATATTTTTAAATGGAAGTCAAGTTTTAAGAATGAAAATTGGTAAAAAAAGGGCAAAATTTATGTTATATATACATAAACTTGACAAGTCATTTCATATGAAATTAATTCAAGGATCAATGTAAATTAAGGAAATATTATACATTTAAGCTAGCTACATACATAACATTGGTTTTCCTATAGATCATGAAGTTGAAGAATAATGCTCTAATGTAGCCTACAGAGTTAAAAACAATATATCTAAAATATATAAGAAAGAAAACAGGTTTCTAGTGAAGAATAAATACAATGTTCATACAAAACCACAAACTTCCAAGGCCACAACAGAACAATGGAGAGATATATTTAAATTGTTAGTCATTACCTACTAACAATGTTAAGTCATTAGCATTGGAAGTACTGTACCAAGTTGCTGACATTGAATGTAGATTTAAAAGTGAAATATACCTCTGATAAGCCAAAAATTTTTTACTAAATATTTCACAATCATCATCATAAAACATGAACTTGAAATCTCCTGAGTCATGGCAATATGATTATACTGTGCAATTGTATTCATACTAAAACATTTGTAACTCTGGGCCTAACTTATTTATTCACAATTACTCAACCAAATGGCTAAGCAATGCAAAAATGGTTCTTGTTTATTGCAAATATCAAACTAGGATAGAAAAAAAGGTCATTTAAAGCCTACCTAATATGAAATAAGTAGGTCGACTGGGAGAAGTTATGAAAGGTCTGCCAGTAAATTAAATATTAAATAGGATAATCCTAATTTCATATTAACAACATAAGAATGCAAACTATATTATATATAATAACTTAACTAACATGCAAACTGAGGTAATTGTAAATTAAATTCAAAAGATTCAACATTTATTTACTTGTGACTAAGTTGTGAGTTGTGACTTTACTAACAAGTAACAAAAATTTGATAATTGATATTTCTCCATGGTTAAACCTAAAAAAAAATTCTTCAAGTTAAGAACTAAAGAAGTACTAAAGTTGAGAAAAATTGAAAAACAGGACCATGAAAAAAATGAAGATATTGTCAGGACATCAACAATACACTGAGACTGAATACAGAACCTAACAGAAGTACTGAAGAGGGAAGAAGCCAATCAAGCCATGCCCAGGGCCCTCATTGCGATTCATTCTGGCAAGTGGCAATTATGGTGTAGCTATTTTGGTTTTTGGCTTTATGGGCATGAAAATTTGTTAAAATGATAAAATTTCAAATTCAAAATAGAAACAGGATACCAGATAATGAGAAGCATTCTACAAAATTTTGACAGAATTGGATCAGTGTTAGTGTGTTAGTGAGTGTTACAAAATGATTGCGCTAAAATTAAAATTGAGCTAGCCTATTAGTATTAAATTTTAAGTGTAGCAGCATGGAGCAACTGCAACTAACAAGTAACAACAAGCTAGTTAAGTTGTTAACAGTAACCTGAAAATGAGTCATCAACAGTACTGAAATACAAATTAAAGTAGAATTTAAACTCGAATTTTCCACAACAAAAAAGGTCATAAAACAAACTAAATATTGTGCTCACAAGTCTTTCTTCTAATTTACAGGTCCCAAAGAAGAACCCAGCAATTTGCTCAAAGCAGGGAGTTGGAACAGGTGTGCAAAAGGTAATCAAGGAGTAAACAGGAAACATCATTTATAATTAATTCTGTTAGACGATAAAAAAACTTCAAAAGCAGCAGGCTCAATTTGGCGTTGCTTCAGAGTCATTGAATGATATGACGGTATCGGTAGCAGAAGCAGACTAACGGAGGAAATGATAAATCAAATAAAATAACTTTAGCCTACGGTAGTTCATCATACAGGCAGAAACTGCCTGACGCCTGTCACTTAAAGTTAGAGCGAAAACTCATCGAACTTGTGTGGGCACCAAAGTTGAAAATTATGACTTTACTACAGGTGATTCGTGCAACTTGAGTAAAATGATTTTTTTTTCAGTATTGGATTGGACCTGGAGTCTCTACCGGCCGCCGGCATGGTGGTAGCGAGTCACTAGCGACGGCCGACGACTAGCGGGTGCTTGCAAATTGCAATACATACAGAATTTGTTAACTAAAAATCTAGCGACGCATGATAGCAATGATTTTCGGCCGGTCTTTAGAAAAATGTCGTGACTATTTATAGATATAACTAGTAAATAGAAACACGCTTGTTACTTTATTCCAGCGCATTATGACATTTACTGTGGTCTGTGATTTACATGAACGAACCTCAAGACACAACGCAACTAACCTAACTAGCACATCACAGCTGATCACTGGCGTGTTAAATCACGAAACGTCAAACAGTGAAAATTACACAGAAAACTAATTTTCTTTCACTCATTAGATGAGAGACTAAATAATTCTGCAATCATGGGATATTTACAATTTAATGCAGCTGCAAAAGTTTTCAAACTAAACTTGGACAGACAAATTCTATCTATCATCATGAAAATGAGGCGTTTTAGTTTTACATCCGGCTCATATGTTAGCAACCTGGGTATGTACATTCATTTTATATATTTCATGCAAATGATAATCGCGATGAAGTCCTCAAAAAAAATATAAAGCCCCGGATAAAAGTGGTTGGAATCAATCAAGTAAATCCATCAAAAATACGCAAGAGTATAAATTTTGATTGTACAAGTAGCAGGTAAAGAATCCTCGATAAGTACCCTGCATGAGCCAAGTAATCGTTTATAAATTATTAAAGCGATTCAAGTTCATATAATTTACCTTGATGAGCAACGTGACGTATTTATATTAAAATGGACAAAAATACTGACGCGCATTTACTCACCTGTAGCAAGTTTCTAAGAAAATTCATTTTGAATATTATAATTCACCAAACATGGAAGATTCATCATGGAGATTCATAGATAAATATGTGAAAACCCCCCATCACATTCTTACTCCAAAAAAAAAAAAAAACACGATAAAAAGATTTGAGAATTTGTTTTTCTTGTTGGTTTTATTCTTCTTCGGTCATTGCGATCGTTAACGAAAAACGTTTGTTGAATCAACACGAAATTTATCAACAGTGTAGCCAAAATTAATTTAAAAGAATCATTTTTTAAATTTCGATAATATCCTTATCTACTTTTAACCATTTAGTGTAAAATTTTATGCTTTAAATTGTTTTAAAGTCGTCACATCACACGATGTTCATAGCCTGTCACCATCTTCCAGTAATGCACGCATTGTTTTGTTTATATATTATCATGTTCCTCATTCAGAAACTATAAATAACAGTGCAGAGGGTGAAATCAACCAAGCATTCATTTTTACACACACACATATATATTCAAGTGTAACTGCAGCGTCTGGATAAAAGTAAATTTTTGAGTTATTCCATTAGCCATCTCAAAACTTTATCCAGCACGCGCTGGCTCTAAATCTACATATGTCTAAGTTTATGTAATTCGTTTAAAACAAAAATTAAAAGACTATATAAGATTCAAAGATTTTTCTGTTAAATTCATGCTTAGTTCGCATGCAGTTCTTGCATGATCAGTAAATATATCTATATATAGATAAATAGATATCTTATTTAAAATGATAACAAATTTCAGCATTAGTCGCAATAGTGTTGCTGCGCGAGCAATCGATCTCATGTAGGAATTATTAGATCATGCATGATATGGTTCATATGATCAGATAATCGTCATCAATTTTTCAGCCGTGCATACCACCAGTTCAGGTAGGAATAGCATTGAAAGGGATTGACAAGCATGAAATGGTATTACACATCAGATTAAATAATCGCACCAGAGCTATGATGTCTGATAAACTGACTTTTTACAGTGACTTCCGATCATTCACACATTTCCTATTTTGAAGTTTGTAATCAATAAATTATTGAAGTTTCAATGCAAGAAAAATATCTCAATTGAAAGGTTCAAATAAACAAAGTAATCATCATCTGAATTTTTTGCGGGTGACCATAGGGGTGGGAAAAACAATGCTAAGAACACCGAGACTAAATTGCAGAACGACCGAGCGCCTGAACAAAAACTAGTGACTGTAGATCACGTTTCCACGGAAATATCCGGCGTTAACACATCAAATGTCTCTCATTACCGATTTATTCTGATATCTTTGTTATTTGTTTTCAATCTAAAGTATTGAAAACATTTACAGAAAGTGCGATACGTTCGTTATGGGTATTCCGGCAAGGCACGACATTACTTCCTCCTCTGTGACACTCCACTATGGCACTGGCACTCTGTGCCTTGCAGTGACTGCAGTTTGTCCCAGCCGCGGCTATTTCTAGACCAGCTAGTGCTTGCTTGTAACATGATTTTTTTTATAAATGAGCATAGATGAGTCTACTTCAATGAACATATGGCGATAAATTTGTGGAAATATAGGAAACCTTAATAGGAAATTTATTCCGAACACATGTTAAAAATGTACAATTCTGGTAAACATTAATTCAATCTAAATCAACACGAACTAAAGCAACGATTTATAATTGTGTTGTTCATAATTTTCAAAAGAAGAACAAAGAAAAATGAAGAAGTCATGCAAACCCAATTACTGTATTTATGAATATGAGTAAAAGAACCGTGGATACGAAAAAATGCAACGGGAAATTGATACGGAACAGAAATCCATAGAAAAGGTTCGGAATAAAACATACATGCAGGACAATCGCATACGCTAAAAATTGAAGTGTAAATATCCGTACGGCCTTTGTATTTGAATAATTTTCAATATTACTTCTCTTTGAAGTAAAGCCAAAGTATTTCAGGGCAAGAACACTACA